TGCTGGTGTCAACAGTCAAGCTTTACCTATTAATGTTTTTCACTTTTATATATGTGTTTCTCTAGATCAGTGGTTCTCAACCTTAGTGGGACCAGGGCCCAGTGAGTTCTTCTAAAACAGGGGTGTCAAACTGGCAGCCCTCCAGTTGTTGCCAAACTACAAGTCCCATCGTGCCTCTGCGAGTCATACTTGTAACTGTCAGTCTTGCAATGCCTCATGGGACTTGTAGTTTGGCAACAGCTGGAGGGCCACCAGTTTGACACCTGTGTTCTAAAACCTTCCATTCCTAAAGGTGTTAAAGAAAAACATTAACCTTTTAAATATAATGAAAGTCCTAGAGGATAGCCTCCAAATCGGTGGTATCAGTGGAACAATGGAATCGTAACCCCTAGGGAAGAATGGCTCCCCAATTAATTGGAGTCAGTGGAATGGTGGTTCAGAGAAAAATACCTCCCCAAATCCATGTTGTCAGTGGGATTGTGACATCCCAAGGAGTGACTAGCCCTCAAATCAATGGAAGCAGTGGAACGTGATGGCCAGGAAAGAATAATCCCCAAAACATTGGACTCAGGGGAATGGGGGCCACCATGTGAGTGGACTAGTGAATCCCAAGAAAGAAGCAATCCTTTTGAATCACTGGTATCAGTATGATAGTGGCACCCAGGGGAGAGTAGTCCCTTTATATCAGTGGTGGTATCTAACTTACCTTAAGACAAGAGTCGGTACTTCTTCTGCAGATGAAGTATGGAAAAACCCACCCATTGCTCACCAGTGCCTGTTCTAATGTCTTTTCTGGGTGCAACAGCACTGGAACTCAGATCTGGGTGCAGATTCATTCATTCAGGAATTTCACCCATGGTACTTCATTCATAAACCATAGTAGCACCATGTGGTATTTTTATTGTGGGGTGTTTTTTTTTTTTTTTTTTTTTTTTTTTTTTTTTTTTTTTTCTGGCAAAAGGTGAAAAGCACTCTAAAGGTCTGCCTCCTCCATTCAGTTCATTCATCCTCTCGTCCTCCATTCATTGAGCACTTTCCATTGATGAAAATTTATAGTAGAGTCTAGTCTATGAATGAAGGTGGAGAACAGCGAGATCCAGCTGTTCTTATTACCCCTACAGCAATAATCTTCTGGAACACTGGGGGGATATGTGGGGGTGAAGGGAGGGAACAAAGGACTTTCATCGAAGAGAATTTCATCTAACGAATTGTGACTTTTTTACATTTTAAAGGGTTTGTAAAGACTGAAGGTCTTTTACCTTCATGCATTCCGTGCATGAAGGTAAAAAATCTTCTATGTGCAACAGATCCCCCATCCCACCCAATACTTAAGCCCCCTCTCGATCCAGTGATGTGCATGCAAGCCTCTGGTCTCTGTCCTCATTGGCTGAGACAGCAGTGGGAGCCATTGGCTCATGCTACTGCCAGTCACAGCCAGAGAGCCAGTGAGGAGATGTGAGTCGGGGCCAAACCATGGCTGTGTGTGAGTGGTCACACAGCAGTGTCTTGGGAGCGGGCCTGCTCGTGTGCCCCCATAGCAAGCTGCTGGCTGTAAAGGCACTTGGCAGGAGGGAGGAGCCAGAAGCACTATTGGGGGTCCTGAAAAGAGGAGTATCGGGGCTGCTCAGTTCAAAACCTCTGCACAGAGCAGGTAAGTACAACATGTTTGTAAAGGATTTTTTTTTTTCTTTTTACAACAATCACTTAAAATTTAGGCTTTAAATTATTATTATTATACAGGATTTATATAGCGCCAACAGTTTGCTCAGCGCTACAATATAACGGGAGACAATACAGCAGCAATACAGCTCAATACAAGAGGGATAGGAGAGCCTGATCCTTGGAGCTTACAATCTATGAGAATGTCACATTCACTGCTGCATGAATATGCCCCATAATCTGGGACATGTTTCTGCCACCCTGAGCTGCCTGCTGGCACATATGTAGGAATAATGTAAACTCCTAAATACAGTTGTCCACCAATTGTACCCAGATTTTAAGTGGATTTCTGGGATAAACCTAACTAGTCTTTAAAAAAATGCTCCCTCTCCCCTCCAAACTCTTATCCTGTCCAGCCTGTGTTAGACTGACAGGGCTGCTGGGGAGAGTAGAGGGCGCTCGACAACCGTTGACCTCACCCTTAGGCTTCCATGTCCCAGCCATTGTCGGCACTTCTTCTTTCCCCCCAAAAAAGGGGGAAAATGTGCGTCATGTGGATCGTCCGGCCCTGTATTCCCACCGCCGCCGTGTTAGAATACTGAGCCGGCCGCAAGGCTCTGCTGTGAAGAAGAACCCGCTCCTCCGTCCTACCTGTCCCTCGGTCCAGCAGTGTCCTGCTTCCATCAGCCGTCTTCTCTCCCTTGTACCGGCGTCTTTGGTGTGGGCACCCGACTGTGACAATTTGCGGTTTCACAGCCTGGTGCCCACTGCACATGGGCGAGAAGCGCTGCACTTTGTGAATGGCCTTGTAGTCTTGTGGGACCTGTCGTGTCCCAGAAGACTACGGGGAGGGAGGGGGGGGGAGGACAACTTCACAGAAGTGGGAGCAGGTACCTGTGAAATTCCCCCCCCCCCCCCTCCCCAAAGGTCCGCAGTCTCTGGTCATCTCCTGTACTGTGTCCGCAGTCTCTGGTCATCTCCTGTACTGTGTCCGCAGTCTCTGGTCATCTCCTGTACCGTGTCCGCAGTCTCTGGTCATCTCCTGTACCGTGTCCGCAGTCTCTGGTCATCTCCTGTACCGTGTCCGCAGTCTCTGGTCATCTCCTGTACCGTGTCCGCAGTCTCTGGTCATCTCCTGTACCGTGTCCGCAGTCTCCGGTCATCTCCTGTACCGTGTCCGCAGTCTCCGGTCATCTCCTGTACCGTGTCCGCAGTCTCCGGTCATCTCCTGTACCGTGTCCGCAGTCTCCGGTCATCTCCTGTACCGTGTCCGCAGTCTCCGGTCATCTCCTGTACCGTGTCCGCAGTCTCCGGTCATCTCCTGTACCGTGTCCGCAGTCTCCGGTCATCTCCTGTACCGTGTCCGCAGTCTCCGGTCATCTCCTGTACCGTGTCCGCAGTCTCCGGTCATCTCCTGTACCGTGTCCGCAGTCTCCGGTCATCTCCTGTACCGTGTCCGCAGTCTCCGGTCATCTCCTGTACCGTGTCCGCAGTCTCCGGTCATCTCCTGTACCGTGTCCGCAGTCTCCGGTCATCTCCTGTACCGTGTCCGCAGTCTCCGGTCATCTCCTGTACCGTGTCCGCAGTCTCCGGTCATCTCCTGTACCGTGTCCGCAGTCTCCGGTCATCTCCTGTACCGTGTCCGCAGTCTCCGGTCATCTCCTGTACCGTGTCCGCAGTCTCCGGTCATCTCCTGTACCGTGTCCGCAGTCTCCGGTCATCTCCTGTACCGTGTCCGCAGTCTCCGGTCATCTCCTGTACCGTGTCCGCAGTCTCCGGTCATCTCCTGTACCGTGTCCGCAGTCTCCGGTCATCTCCTGTACCGTGTCCGCAGTCTCCGGTCATCTCCTGTACCGTGTCCGCAGTCTCCGGTCATCTCCTGTACCGTGTCCGCAGGCTCTGCTCATCTCCTCTGCCGTGTCCGCAGTCCATTGGTTCAGAATTTTTTCTTTTTTTCTTGTTTTCCTCCTCTAAAATCTAGGTGCGTCTTATTGTCAGGTGAGTCTTATGGAGCGAGGGAAAAAAAAAAAATTCGCTCACACACACGTTAGTCAGCATAGGGGTTAGAAGGTAGGAGGGAACATGTTTAAGACTAGTTAGAATTCCAGTTTAAAGCTGATTTCACATCCCAGTGAACTATATTGTAGTTGTGAAGAGATTAAAGGAAATAATGCTGAAACTGTAAAATTCTATTTAGTAAAGATGGAAAGAAATAACTATTACGGACTTGTTAAAGTGCAACTAAAGGCTGCTAAACCAATCAAAATCCAGTTTCTATTTGAATCCCAAGCCTTATAATGCAAACTAAATCTTCTTTTACCTTCTCATACTGAGCCAAATCCTCCATGTGTCTCACACGGTCCCCCCTCCCAGGAACTGCAGCGCACAGTCAGAGGGTTTCGGCTACAGTGGCAGTGCTAGAGGCAGAGAACGGAACCTCACCGGCACAAGCTTTTGAGCAAAAAACGCACATAAACATTTAGGCTTGCTTGCATGTCAATGTATTCCAGTGGACCGGGTTTTTAGGCAACTTTTCACCTGTCGGGAAAATGCATTCATAGAGCTAAGCAGATGCTCTGTGTGCGCGAGGCCTTATAGCTTCATGTGACATCTATCCTATCATTAGATAATGGGGAAAAAAATAAATCCTAAACCAGCATGTGTCTGCTGCACTCAAAAGTTTATCCCACTGACCTTCCATGTCACTACAAGATATATTATTACCATAGAGGTCAGTGTGTGGAACCACTAAGTTATGCAGGGGACACAGATTGACACTCCCGGAAGTGTCAGTTTCTGCACAAACTTTGGAGGACAATTTCTCTGTAGTGGAGCACTGTTAACCTCCCAGATTTTTGGTGCTGAAAGTGGTACCATTATTTTGCATGGACATTTGGCGTTTTATATTGTAGGCCTGTAATTCTTAGGAATAACTCACTGAAATCTGTCCGAACAAGAGTCTAGTAAACATCCCGGGTAGGATAAAACTTGAAACACGAAATTATAAATTATAATTTAATAATCATAAAAAATATAATACATTTAGTTCAATAATATAATCAAACCAAAAACACTGAAATTTGAAATAGAGCACCAAGTTCGCACATCACTGAGCAAAGTCGCAAAATTGTTTTCAGTGTCTGATGACGTATTTCCCCCACGTACTACTATCACTCAATCCTGCAAGTGGTTCTAATTTACTATCGCTGTTCTCTAGCCGGTCTAAAACCGATTTTGACCTAAAGGGACGCTTTTTTGGATGCCATGGACGTTTCTCAGTTTCCAGGCAGAAAGAACAGTAAAAATGCAGGCAGGACACAGGACAAAGCACTCGGGACAAAATGTATGTGAAATGGTTTGATACAGGAATGTTTTACTATGTGATTTTAGTGAATGTCACTTTTTGTCATTTTCAAATTTCCTGTCGTTCCGTCCCCCGTATGTCCCGACGTCGCAGGGGATGGAACCCAGATGACAGATGCTGGCATCCACCTGAGGACATTACAGGGGACACTGCAGGAGGGACATCGCGGGAGCGCAGGACAAGGTAAGAGAAGAGATCCCCGGAGCAGCGCCGCATGGTAAGCCCGAGTGTAGCTCGGGGGTTACCGCTTGTGGTACTGAAACTTTACCCCGAGCTACACTCGGGAATACCGCCAGGGAGGTTAAATGGTGAGCTCTTAGCACAGCTTCATTTGGAGTTGTGTAAAGCGCTATTAAGCCCAAAACCCCAAATTTTTATATTGTAACTTACCAATTCTTAGATGTGATGGCTTCGTTGTTTTTTTTGTGCTCTTGCCGGCACCTCCTCCACAACTTCTTTAGGGTGCCAGTCTTTGGCCGTCTTGATTGGCCGGTGCGGGGTGACATATTGCGCAAGTTCAGGAGTTCAGTCATCCTGGCATACAGGGACCACGCTGGAATGTGAACCAAACTGTCCAGCAAAAGTGTCAGTGTAGGGTGGTGGGGGGTTGGGTGAATTACCACTGATGGGTGCTTACAATGATCAGCTTTCATTCATTTATGTAAAAAACCTTTATCCCAAAGGGACAAAAAAAAAAAACCTCAGTTGCTGTAACTGCTTAAAAAGTATTGGCTGTAGTTCAGCTTCAGTTTGTTAATCATGCCCACCTAAATCTGCTAGATCATCTATCACTACTCTCTCCCCAGATTGACAGTGCTGCTGTCCAAAGGTGTCTCCAATGCGCCTCCATCCAGAGTGGTGGCCATACACACACAATTTTTTTTTTTTTTTTTTTTTTTTTTTTTTTTTATCCAATGATTTGGGATTCAATCAAAACCAAAGAACTTTAAAAGTATCGAATAGCTATAACTTCCCTTCCAATTGCTTTAGAATCCATTTTCTATTGTGTGTGTGATCAAACTGAGTTGAATAAATAGGTAGGGAATGTGAGCGCTCTAAAAAATGGTAAAAGCCGCTAAGCACAAAGGTAACCAAAAATAAACCTTGATAAATACAATATAAAAGGAGGTGAAGCGCTAATAGTATAAAAACAACTAAACATATATTCAGATGCGAAGTTCATAAGTAAGAACAATTCAAAGTGACTAGTGCTCTTTAGGTGCTTGTTTTTCTAGAAACCGGTGTCCATGCAGTAGTTGTGTAAGTAATGCGCACTCACCGGACGCGCATACAAAATGCACCTGTAAATATTACTCCAGCAGTCATCAAGGTAAGTCAGATGTCTTCCCTCTAAGGGATGGATGGTCATCAAACAGGATCCTTGGGGTTTTAATGATCCACGCCAACCAGAGTTCCCCTTAAGGGGTTAAGCGGGTGTTGCTCCCTGGATGAGATTCCCTCTCTGGATTAGGAATGGGTCTCGTCCTATGGCAGGGTGTCTGGAAATTAAAACTCCCCCAGGGAGTTAAACAAGGATATGCCCATAGTGTAGTAGGTTGATAAGCAAATTTATTTGAGATAAAGTAAAACCGATGCATCAGATAATGGTTACAAGCAAGAGAGATACACAGGACTAACCGTCCACATTCAAAGATGGCGTGACGTCACGGCGTAATTTTAGGAGGAGCCACATTACGCCGTGACATCAACGTGGAGCTCCGGCGGCCATCTTTGAAACTGAGTTAATTAACCAGGGTGGAAAACTATTAAATATTTTGAATCGATCTACAGCACTGAATTCAGATTTTGAGTTTACATGGTGGAAACAGATGTGATCAATGACTTATGAAAGCAAGTAGCTGTCCTGTCTTAACAATCAAAGTCCACCACCCATATGTGGCATATAAATCGAATGGGTTGTCGGGTATAGATCATTTATTCTGATTGGAAAAGAGATTTGTCATTTTATTGAAATGTCTATGGCCACTATAAGAGAGGAAAGTGCGTTACTTGCCGGATTATCAGGTGAAAAAGAGAATCCTAAAAAAGAAAAAATGAAATGCTGCCACATCATGAGGTATCTGCATTATTTTTGTGTTTTTTTTTTTGGGGGGGGGGGGGGGGGGTTAATACCTCCTTTTTAAGGAACAGACACACGTTAAAATGATGCTGATTGCCATTTCTGAACATGATGCAGAATGAGTTAAAGGATGATGGTGGCTTGTTGCAGGGCAATATTTGTAGAGCTCATAACGGCACCCAATTATATAGACGTAGTAATAACGCGTTCTGTTTCCTGAAAGCCCCTAATGACATCAATAATATCCTTCCTGTCATTTCCCCATTTACCATCAGACTTTTAATGTTCAGTCTGTCCTTTATCTGTTAAAGGTCTCCTTGATTCCTGCTGCCTAGACTGATCTATTCCTGACTGTACAGAATGTTTATTGATCTTCTAATGTGTATATAGAACCATTTCAGCCCTTTAATAGTCATTTGTTCAATGCTGCTCCTAATACATGATACAGGTGATTGAGGGTAGGCCAGCTTTAAAGTAGTCCAAGACAAATGATGGCCATTAAAGGCTATAGACTTAGAATTTTAACCCAACATTTCACATTTCTTAGTATGCTTTGTTGTGCCATGTACTTGTATCTTGTTCTCTTTTGTATCTCTTCCTTTCTGTGAAATACCTGGTGATCCTTCCAGTCCCCCCTGCTGCTTTCCTATATAAAACTGACCACACGAGGCATAGAAGCTTATCTTTTTCCAGAGTAGTCAGATTTCTAGCTGTGCTGTGCCTGTTGTCCATTGATCAGACTTGTGCTGACACTCCTACCTCTCTAGACCCCTACGCGCAGCTGGGAACAGATTTTCTGATCACTTAGGCCTCTTGCACACTACAGCTTCAAAAAAAAAAAAAAAAAACCTGTACTGTACGTTTTTTTTCTTTTTTTTTTTTTTCTTTTTCAAACTGAAGTAAATTGTAGCCCATTATTTAAAATGTTCCTTCTGCGTAAAAAAAAATCGCTGCATGTTCCATGATAAGGTAGGAAAATCTGCATTTTTGGTCACAAACTTACATTGTGTGCTCAGTTACACGCATATGAGCATAAGTATATATTGTGTGCGCAAAAACGTCCAAGAAGACTGCCTGGAATTGGGTCCAAAAGAGCAGATGCTCTGTCTGGGGACAGCCAGTGAGCCAATGGGGGGGGGGGGGGGTCGTGGGCTGAGTCGCGGCTCTGTGTCCCATAGACGCATAGAGCAGCAGCTTGGGGACGAGCACACAGAGTTGCCCTCAGCGTTGCCATGTAATGGCACAATATACCTCCCCTTCCTAAAATCGCTGCCCACACAGCTGGTCTTCAGCAGGTGAGACTAGTGGAAGGTGGGAAGGAAGATGGGATACATATGAAGTACAGTAGGAGGCTGCATTGCTACCTGGGATTTGTAGTCTACAGTGAGCATTGCACGTGACAGCAATATACGTGCACCATTCATAACAGAGAGAATAGGAGGATCACAGAGCCGCAGTTGGGAGTGTGCAGCGATTCTGATACCTTGATACATACTGTAGCTTTTTTTTTATTTTTTTATTCGATTTTAATAGATTGGGGATATGATGGATTTTCTGCAGGCTTTGAACATTACTGACTTTCTGTACTTTGCTCATACAGGGTAAAGTAACCGCTTTACCCTGCTTATTGTATGGCGTATATTGTACATGCACTGCTATGCGAGTCCCTTTCCTAGAACAGGTATGATTCCAGAAGTGTTGGGACATCTGGTTTAAACCTACTTGTTCTCGGTCATTAACTCAAGTAGTGGAATTTCCTCTATGTATATAACCTAGGAGATTCTGGGTGTGCAAGTCTGCAGAAAAAGAAAATCAATCTAATATCCTTGTGTTGTCAGTCATACCTTTGACCACTGACACAGGTAAAGTGAATAACATTTGATTATCTCATTACAATGTTGTCCCTGAAGTCGATGTGTTTAAAGTAGAAAGAAATGGGCATCGCAGTTGTGTATTGTGCCTGCAATGGGCATGTGATCAGAGCTGGGCCACGGAGCAATGAAAGAAGGTGGCGGGTCCAGTGAATAACATTTTCTTTTACATCATATGGATGGCTGGGTGTGTGCATCACTTACACGGGGAAGAGATGGCACCAGGATGCACTATGGGTGAAAGGCAAAGTGGTGTAGGCAGTGTGATAGTTTGGGCAATGTTCTGATGGGAAACCTTGGGTCCTGCCATTCATGTGATTGTTACTTTGACACGTACTACCAACCTAAACTTTTTTTTGGTGACCAAGTACACTCTCTTCATGGAAACTGCCCTGGTGGCGGTGGCTCCTTTCAGTAATAATGTGCCCTGCAACACTGGTTCAAGAATGGTTTAAGGAAAACATGTTTGAGGAGTTGATTTTTGTTCTGCAGATTCTCCAGGTCCAGGGGCGGACTGACCATTTGGAAACTCAGACACTGCCCGAGGGCCCGGGGTTCGTAGGGGGCCCCATGAGATGCCCCTGGTACCTTTTTCATAGGCTTTGAGTTTGGGCAAGGACACAGGGGCCCCATGATCCCCTATTGCTCGGGGGCCCCATGAGTTGTCAGTCCGCCCCTGTCCAGGTCTCAATCCAATCAAGCATCCGTGGGATGTGATGGGAAAAAAAAATCCACGGCATGGATGCCCCACCTCACAACTTACAGGACTTGCTACTAAGATTTTGGTGCCTTGGTGTTGGGAGCTGATTGGGCACAATATGTGCTTGATCATTTCAGGGACAGGGGGGGAGGGGGTATGATACATTAAGAACCTAATAAACCCCTTGATGTCTCCTATGATTGCTTCAATTGAGGCATTGGCAACATATTTTCTATGCATGTAGTAATGGAACAGGCAGCCTAATACATCTGCTTCAGGCTGCGATTACTGTCATTTTAATGGTGATTGCCTAACAATGCACTGCTGCAGCAACACCACATTTACAATAAACATCTGTCTTCTTCATACCCCTTTAAGCTATTTATCCCCCCCCCCCCCCCAAAAAAAATCAAATGATTTTCTAAAAAAGTGTAGTGTATGTAAAACACACACACACACCAACAGATTTGTCAGAAAACCTTTACATTCCTTTCAGAATCAACATTTTCTATGGGACACTATACTACAAAATACTCTCACAAATGCCGGCCATGGATTACAAACAAGATTTGTTAAATTGCGCACACGAAAAAGTGTTTTTCCTAACAAATTCTTACAAAACCATGTTGCAAAAATGAATACACCCCAATGAA